GCTTTGCTCGCGAAAGCAATAGGGCGTGCCTTATCCCCGTCGATAGGCAATTGTGATAAAACCGCTCCCAGTCCATCCAGAGAAGCATCCACAGACAAAATGAACGGTCGTGAAAAGTCAGGATGAGCCAACACGGCACAGTTAAGGAGGTTGTCCTTCAGTTTATGAAAGGCCTTGTCACATGCAGGGCTCCAATCTGCAGCAGTCAACTTCCTGAACGTGCCAGCACCCCTCCCAGCCTGACTAGTCCGTCCTTTCCTCTTCTGGCCAGCCGTCAGAGCAAACAGAGGCTTGGCAATGGCAGAGCAACCAGGAATGAAGCACTGATAGAAAAAGACCATTCCTAAAAAGGACTTAATCCTTTTCACAGAAGGAGTGCAACCATCCTTCTCCATTAGAGCCTCCTTTGGCATCTTGGAAATCACTTCCACCTTAGCTGGGTCCACAGCGACTCCGGTCTGGTCGATGACATGACCAAGAAACCTGACTGAGTTCCACAGCAGATTACACTTCTTTGGACTCAGCTTGAGATTGTTGTCTCTCAACCTTTGAAAAACAGCTCGGAGCCGCACAGGGCTTCCTCTTCAGTGGGAGCAAAGACCAGGAGGTCATCCAAGTAGCAGAGCAGACTGGTGAAGTTGAGGTCACCAAAGATGTTCAGCATCATGCGCATAAATGAAGCTGGGCTATTACAGAGCCCTTGTGGCATCCGGTTTCATACAGGCCAACAGGCGTTGTGAAAGCGGTGTACTTCTATTCTCCTCACACATTGGAATGTTGTAAAACCCAGAGGTTAAGTCCATCGTGCTGAAGAAGGCATTGCCCCCAAGCGCGGCAACGCAAACCGCTTGGTGAGGGAGTGGGTGCACATCCTTAAGAGTTTGCGCATTCAACCACCTGAAGTCCGTACAAATCCCCAATCCACCATCCTTCTTCCAGACCATTATGAGGGGGGATGCATACTCGCTGATGGATTTGCGAATAATCCCTTTCTCCTCCATGTCAGTGAGTACCTGCCTTAGTTGTTGGTAATGAGCCGGGGGTACTCTTCTGTAAGGCATGCGGAATGGGCATTCATCAGTCAGGTGGATCCGATGTACAAAGCATTTAGCTTCGCCACAGTCAAGCGGGTGTCTAGAGAAGATGTCTTCATACTGCTCAATTAACTCAACAAGCTCTCTCTTTGAATGTAAGCTGCCATGGCATGAGTCAATGTCAAGATCACCCAAACCTAGGGAGCACAACCTGTCATTCAAGACAGCCTCAGTAGCGGCTGGCCCACTGACTGGTACCTGGGCCATACTCGCCATCTTGCAGGAGTCCTGCTGGAAATTCCCCTACAGTCTGAGTTCGACTGGCCCATTATCCGCCATCTTGCGAGTACTCTGCTGCAAATCCTAAGGTCTCCGACCGCAAGGCACAGATGAAAACGGACCCAGCATACCCTCGAGTTGCGTTCAAGGTCAGTGTTTTCAGGAGAGACCGTTAGTCATCTTCGCGCTATAGTCAACAGCAACCCTCGAGTTGCGTTTCAAGGTCAGTGGTTTTGAGGAGAGATTGGTCATCTTCAATGGCACCCACCGATCACCCCACATGGATGTGATCACCCGGCCAACAAGAACGTCTCTCGGCCCAGACCCAGAGGTGCAGGTTCCACGATGATCGTGCTGCCTGGAGAGACTGGCACATTGCTGGGTAGCCTGCCCCATACCAGATGTTCACACCGTGGGAGTAGTGTCACAGCACGAGGCAGTTTCACAGTGCCAATTTTGTCAGGAACCTCCTCACCCCTCCATCTGGTGGTGCACGACATCATGTCCAAGAAGTGCTCATAGTCAAGAAGCGAGTGCTTGCTTCCCACAGACACAAGCTTCCAATAGTCATCAGAATGTTTCATAACTCGCATCAGGTACTTGAGAACATTGGAGCCAATGATGAGCTCATCACGCTGGCCCGACACTACCAAAACTGGTACAATGCATTTCACACCGTGGACAGTAAGTGTCAAGTCATAAACGCACTTTGGGTGGGTCTGCTTCCCACCACAGCCAACCAGCACAATACGTTCGGCCGACTGCGGTCCACTCACAAGAGCCCCAGCCTCTCTAAGTGACTTCTCGGCCTCTTCACTCATAGTGCAAGCCATAGACCCGGAATCCATCATGCCCCTCAAGTTAACCTTGTCATTCACTGCAACTTGGGTGTAGAACAATTCACCAAATGTAGGCACTACTGCTGGTCCCTGAACCACGACACGGTACCCCTCTGGCATTGTTGAACAGGTGTTGACATAAAGAATTTCGAGATCCGATTCATCATGATTGAGGGTATTAGGTTCATCCCCCACACTGCCCCTCTCCAAATGTGGGTGATTCAGTTTTCCGAAGGCCAACCCTGCCTCGCGACAGCCCCGGCCTCCCGTCCCTCACGACGACTGTGACAGTCCTTTTTCCAATGACCAGGAGCAAAGCATGCAAGACAGAGATTCTCTCTCCTGCAGTGCATGTGAGTGGAATGACCAGTGTTGCCACAGACCTGACAACTCTTCTTAAGAAAGGGCCCGCGGGTAAAACGCTGCGAAGGTGCAGATGCAGGGGCTGTAGTCTGCACATTCTGACATGCAATCACGCGATCCAAGAGGCTGATCAGAGCGCGCATGCCAGTCACATCAAAAGCTTGGGTGTTAGTCGAACCAAGCTCGCAACCAACTGACTGCTGACTAGATTGAGTGGTCACAGTGTATGTTGGTGACTGTTGGAACTGAGGAGTAGGCGTAGGCACCGGACAAGAAGACACTGATGTCCCAGAAGGACAGGTTGTCGAAACATCAGCTAGAACAGGAGTGAAGCAAGCTGCTGTGGGCGAAAGCTGACAAGCGAGGTTTGAGGCTGCTGCTGTAGGCTGAGACTGCAAGGCGACGCTGGCCTGACCAGGCTGTGACGCCATCGCTTCTTGAGGCACAACAGAGCAGTTGTGGCTAACCTCTCTCCTCTGTGAGGTGTGGAAACTGCCCTGACTGCGTGCCCTGAGTTCACGCTGGAAGCTATCAATGCGTTCTTGAACCTCAGTGGTTGTCCACTCCTCAGCTGCTTTGATGCTGAGCCTGTTCAAGAGGATGGGGTCAGGGCAATACTTGATGAACATCATCGAGACCTCACGCCCTGGATCCTCAACATTACGCCCCTGCCTACGCAAGCACTCGTCAGCAGCGTCAATAGCATTGTTTAGCCTTATCCAATATTCCATCACTCCCTCATGTTGTAATGGTTTGGTGTTATAGAAGTCAGCCATAGGCATAGAAGAGTAAGTCAATACACTAAAGTGCTGTTTCAGAATGTCAAATATCAATTCAGGAACCTGGACATGGTCAAGTGAGGGGTTGTGACGTAGGGTGACCCTCACTACATCCTTAGCCTTCCCCATCAACCTAGCCAATATGTCACGTGATCGCTGATCTGTTGGTGTGTTGCGTTTTACAAAGTACATTTCCATCATTTCAACCCATTCATGAATGGAAAATTTATCACTGCCATCACCCCTGAAAACTGGTGGCTCCTTGACGTCTGATTGCAAGACAAGTTTCACCCCAGACAAATTTAGCTCAGGGGGTCCCTGCTCAGCCTTAGAGCTTTCAGTAGGCATACTGGTCCCCTTATCACCTTGCAGCTGGGCTACAATGGACTGACCAATCTGATTGGCCAAATCTGAGATGAGTGTACTCAACTCAGCACTGCCAGCTGTCTGCGGGGTCTGAATGTCACAGGGGGGAACCTGGAGACGAGTGGAACAAAACTTGGGAGCAAATGACACACCAACTTTAGGTGTCTGAACCCCATCCCCAAGAAACCACCCTCGCCCCAAACCAACATTAGAGGAAACCTCCCCATCAGGAACACCAGTTGCCTCTGAACCAGATGCTGGCTCCATAATGATGAATAAAGCACAATCGCAAGAAACAAAATTCCAAATAGTGCAACTGTACAAAAGCAAACACAGTATTCTTAACTAACACTTAATGTTATTCAGGATGAGAATTGAGCAGATTAAATGTCCAAGCTCATTCAAAAAGTCCCGCACAAGTTAGGAAAAGCAACCAACTTGGAACGAGGGCAATTGCGAAGAGCTCCCCACGGTGATCGAGATGACGTCGATGCTTGATGAATCCAAAGGGTCACGGCACCAATGTAACCCGTTCAAGTGTTACGCCTGCTGTTCTGCGTTGTGTTCTGGTGTTGAAGCAAGAGGCAGGAGACAGTGCTGAATCTTTGGCTCTTTACTGTACATCTGCAACACAGAAATACGTGTTCGATCCGTGTGTGTCACGTGACTGACAGTACACCTCTCCTCCGGCCATGCTGAAAGGAGCTGTTTTGCAGCTTCATTAATGTACCAAATACAACAAATTGTTTTAAAACATTAACTTAAGCTCTCAAAAACAAAAAGCACAAAATAAACAATATGTCACTGAAAAAACATCAAAACAACTTATAAGAACAATAAATGAAAGACTGCATCTCCAAAACATAAAAACATCTCCATACCTGCAACACAGAAATACGTGTTCGATCCGTGTGTGTCACGTGACTGACAGTACACCTCTCCTGACAAAGGAAAAAAAGGTGCATGCTGTTAGAAAAAAAGGGGAGACTGCCGCGAGTACGCTCTCAAGCCGCTAGCGATCAGGCTAGCTTAGCATGCTAGCATATTAGCTGCGTTCTCGACTATAACTCATTATAAGTGTGTATTAATGAACTCCGTCCTCCACAAAACTTATCCCGAATGAGTCTCTTAACGATAAACAAAAACGCGGTGGTTCGGCTGTATTCACACTGCAGCTTGGGATCCGAACAAACTTTGATTAACTGAGAGCAACGTGGCAGTGACTTACCTCCGGCCATGCTGAAAGGAGCTGTGACCGGGGCACACATGCACGCGCCTACGTCACCACGCAGCGCACACACGCACATGAACGCACACAGACCGAACACACAGGTAGGAAAGTGAGATGCAAAAATGACATATTTATTCCAAAAAAAGAAAGTGTTTTGGGTGAAATTCACAAGTGTTTAACACATATGTTACACAGGCATTAAAAACAGAAATATTATGTTCACTGTCATTAGTTCAAAATGAAAATATATTGTTCAAAAAGACAATTACTGAATTTTAACATTTGATATGTTCGCTTTGTGCTATGCTCCAGGACTTGATGACTCAATTTTCTTTTATTTATATTTAATTTGAGACAATTATTTACTGTACAGCTAACAGAGAGGAACTCATGTGTTTCCAGGACGATGAAGCCACTCACCCAGAAAGATGAGGAAAAACTGTGCGATATAGCTGACGTCACTACTGAGCATCATTTCTGGAACTGCCATATGTTGTTTCCTGATGTCTTTGTTTTTTTCTAACACAATAATTCCAGGTTTCAGTTCATGGCTTTGCTTTTGTTCCGGTTTGTTTGTGTTTTTCAGTTTGCCTATTGATAAAGATATATTTTTTTCAAGTTTATTAGTATTAAAGTTGGCATTGCAGGATAACATCTAGGTTTTCATTTTCAGATTCTCTGTTACACTAAAAATTCGTCTTATCCCTCAATTGCAGCGGTGTGAAACATAAATCTAGTCCACTGGAAGGCACAAAATTTTGATTTTTAACTGTATTTTTATATGTATTACAGCTTTTCCTACTAAAGGTCATTCATACTACACCATGATAATGAAGTACAATACTACATAAAAAATTAAATAACCAAGAAATGTTTTTCAATATCTAGTATAAAAAATAAAATAAGACATTTCTTGTAAATTGACAAATATATTCTTTAAAAAAATGCAGGCCAATCAGTGAATATGTATTCATTGATTGGCCTGCATTTTTTTTTAATGCATTGTTCAGAATGTAAATTTGACATATTCATATTCATATTTCACGGCACGGTGGTTAGCACTGTTGCCGCACAGCAAGAAGGTCCTGAGTTCAATTCCACCATCAGGCCGGGGTCTTTCTGTGTGGAGTTTGCATGTTCTCCCCATGTTTGCGTGGGTTCCCTCTGGGTACTCCGGCTTCCTCCCACCATTCAAAGACATGCAGCTTGTGGGGATAGGTTAATTGATTAATCCAAATTCCACTAGGTGTGAATGTGAGTGTGAATGGTTGTCTGTTCTGTGTGTTAGCCCTGCGACAGACTGGCGACCTGTCCAGGGTGTACCCCGCCTCTCGCCCTATGACAGCTGGGATAGGCTCCAGCACCCCCCGCGACCCTGAAAAGGATAAGCGGAAGTGAATGGATGGATGTTCATTTTTCATTGTTTCACTGGTTCATCCCACTTCAAACTCAATATGGGCTTTATGTGGCCCACGATGTAAAATGGGTTCCTAGTCTAATGAGTTGTGGCTGTGAGGATGTCCAAATCCATGGGCTGCATCCTCCTGAGGATGGATTTGTAGGCCGATTACGTCACAGCGACGCAACGAAGGCTGTCCAAATTCGTAGACTCCTCCGAATTCAGTCGACAAATGCGTCCTCTTTTTCCCTGAATTTGAAGGATGGGTCGGGTCAGTCATTAGTTGCCCAACCTATCCCAGAATTCATAGCGCGGTTCCAATTCCAGTTTCCTTTTTTTTTTTTTTGTGTCCGTTTGGATCTTTAGCCATCAGAATTGTTGTCTTAAGGCCAAGAAAGATGCCAAGCGGATTTATTTTATCAAGTGGATCATCGTGGCCTTGCCATATTGGTCCATTTGATTGACCTTTATTATAATTATGAATTTATTTTATACAGGACAGGGAGAAAGAATGAAAGAAAGAGAGGGAGAGAAAGAAAACCAAAGGGGAGAAGAGACGGTGAGAAGGGGGGGAAAGAAAGAAAAAAAAACACCTGGGTCACCTGTATGGAGAAAAAAAACAGAAGAGAAAGCAAACAACAAAGAGCAACATAATAAAAAAAAAGGCACCATCACAATAAACTAGCTAGCAGTAGATATCAGTAGATACTAAATAATAAACGATATTGTGCAGCACGCAAGATAGACAGCGCACAATGTGCTTTGAGGCAGCAGCCAAGAAAGCTGTAGTCCGCGTCTGTGAATACCCGTGTGTACACCTGTGTGCATACCTGTGTGGATCAGCATGCTTGCATTCCAAAGGTTTCTCCATGTAACGATCTGCTAGGGAGTGTGGGGAGCCACAGCCCCGTCCTCCAGGGTATGAAGCAGGTATGGAGGAGATCAAAACTCCAGACATCCAGAGGCCCCCAGAACACAAGAGACCAAGGAAGACCAACAGAGGGGCAGCCGCGCCACTGTCCCAGTAAGAGCTGAGGAGAGTCCCAGATGAGGGCTCACTCAGCAGCCGCGGAGCAGAAGCCAGGGGGAGTTGCAGTGACGCGCCCGTGAGCTCCGCCGGCAGCCAGCTGTGCCTGAGTGACCGAGCCCCAGGCCGAGAGGCCGGGGGCACCCCACCTCCGAAGTGGCCCGAGCGAGCCCCAGGCTCCAGGCCCCGATAAGCGGCCGCCAAGGAGTGAGCCGGTGTGTACCCGGACACCGGTAACACCACCTGGGTCTGGGTGCAGTTCCCCCCTCCAGGGGCAAGGGTACCTAGACCCGGTTCGTAGAGTACGCTTGGGGAGTGTGATCGTGTGTACAGCGTCTCTTTATGTCTGTCTCCACGTTGGTTGAGTGTGGAGTAAGTGCATATGAGAGCATGAGGGTGGGAATGGATGTTTGTGTCTGTGTGTGCCTGTATGTCTGTGTCTATATGTCAGGTTGGGTATCAGACGCCACCTCTCTGGGGACATCTCAGGCCCTCCAAGGTTTGGAGGCCTATCTCCACCCACCACCACTTCCCCTGCCAGTGGCGGACTCCCTCAGGTGTCGGTGCGTTGGTGGTTCTTTGTGTCTGGGGGTGGGCGTCCAATTCCAGTTTCCAACAATGGCGGCTGCTACTAAGTTTTTAATATTACTCTTATTATCTTTCTGGGTCAAAAAATAAACTTTTAACATATTTGCAGACGAGGATATAGCTGTGTAAACATTAAATATCTGCTCCGTTTATCAAGATATCACATATTTGCAAAAGTGCTCCGACGTTTTCGGAGATGTCTGTTATCCACCAGCTCGATAGCTATCCGAGAGCTCGAGGAGCAGAGAACAGGAAACTCCCGGCACATCATTTTCAGATCACCGCAAGGAGCAGACGGCAGAGTTTATTAAACTCCACCGAGACAGCAGTGACACAAATCCAAAGGCTACACCGTCCAATTTCACAGGGGTTTACTTTCAGCCTACCCGACCTTTTGAGGACCCGGCCCACGTAGACCGTGAAGGCCAGGTCCTCAGGAGGATGCAGCCCATGAATTTGGACATGACTTATATACACACAATTTGTAGAACCACTTATTGAGATGAGCAGCTGGCTGCTTTCTGTCTCTGTCAAGGCTGTTCATATCTGAGAGGAGACCGTGGAGCTACAGTAGGAAACCATTTGATATTAAAGACAGAGCTTTATCAAAATACCACCATCCATGTGTGTAGTGAACTGTTCAGATGGGTTACTGGAACAATAAATAAGTTTAAGTATAAATTTTCATAAGATAGAAAGAAAATGATGTTGCAGTCATTTAAAAGAAAAGTTTGTTGTGGAAAAACTGTTTGTTATTCTATAAAAAAGCTCTCGGCAAAGTTAGGAAAATTGGAACAGCCCCACTCATCTTCCCAACACTGTAGCCAGGCTGCAAAGACCCAGAGTTCAGTTCACTGAGTAGTCCCTTAACTGGAATTAGCAATTAATTTATGAATTATCTATCCATCCATCCCTCCTTATCAGGGTCAGATCAGAACTGGACACTATCCCAGGTACCATAATAATACATAATTCTTTAGGTTTTAGAGAACAAGACTGTGAGACTTTCTGCAGGTTCGAGTTAGACGAGATTAGACAAGGACCTAATAAGGCAATCAGGAATGATAAGGAAGGAGATGGTGAACAATGTGTCCGCCTCTGCCAGGGCCAAAGCAACACGTCCAGTGACCAAAAGACAGATGAAAAGTGAAATTCACATTTTTCTATCTTTACTATCTTTACTCTTCTATCTTGTAGCACATTGCATTGGACCCATTTATCCTTCAGAGACTAAAATAAAAAAAAAATCAGAACATAATCCAAGTAAATAATATGATGACTGGTAAAAATAAAAAGATTACAGACAGTATTGTGGAGCCCACCATCTGTATCCCCAAAATTACCTGACTGTGGAATCTGTATCGTGAGGCCATGGGTCTTTCATCTAGTCATTTAGTGTTTGCAAATATACACCCAGAAACAGGAACTTAGCCCAGACAGGCAGAACCTGGACTCATGGGCCAGAATGGAAACATACAGCAACACCCTTGACACTCAGCATGGACCATGACACTATTGATCTTGTTTTTAGAGTTTGTTCCTGTGTTGCTATGATTAGTGCCACTGTGCCATCTTTCAGCCCAGCTTTGTCCATCCACTGGTCCAGATTTCTAACATTAGATTAATATCAGCCACTTCTTCTATCTGTTGGCGCTAAATACCATGTTTTCATGTTTTCAATGATGGTTCCTCTTGCTCCTCTTTTTTCTCTGGCTTCGGCTGTCTGAGATAGTTACTAAGCAAATAATAAGTCGCAACTATCTTCCTGATGTATTCATGAATCTTGGTTGTTTCGTCCTGGAAAGGGGTTCAGACACTATCTAGTCTCCGGGTGCCTTCCTTCTGCTTAGTGTATGTAACACTCCCCTAGTAAGAGGGCAACAAACAGCTTATATATGGTCCTGAAAAAAAAGAGTAAATGATGAGATGGATGAAAGGTAGTGTGATTTCCTCTCTCGCATCTGCTAAAGCTTTATTTATACACATTCACGTGTTCACAATATAGGTTACAAAAACTTCTTAATCTCTTTGTGTCACATTACTAAAATCTGAGTAAACTAAAATAATATAAAAAAATCTAAACAGTCATATCTGTTGCTTGTTACTCAAAGTTACACATCACACTTTTTCCCCACACATAGTTTAATAGAACAAACATACGTACTGGTTCAGATACAAACTTGTATTGGAAATCTCCACATCAACATTTCAGAGTGACCAGAGTTGTTATTACACTAACTTTAGACAATTACAGTGGTAGAACATCAAACTGTCTCTGTGAACTCATTAATATAGAGGAGCTGTGGTGTACTGTTGTTACAAGAGACTGCCTTCAGTTTAGAAGAAGCCAAAGACAAAGGCTACTCCAGCATGCGGTGAGCTAAGCTAGCTCTGCTCTCTTAACCATAACACGTTTCAAAGAGAAAAAACAGACAAATACAGATCCCACCAAGACAAACTGTTGGTCGGGTTTTACCCTTATTTGGCATCTTAATCATGTGGACCACATGTGTTGCCTTATTATTTACTAAGCTGAAAAAAACAGGTGGACTACAGGTAGTGTGTTTTCCTCCCTCGTTTCGTCCAGATCTGAAGACGAGCGGTAGCTCACACTAAACCGTATCACTAGGGTGGAGGTGCCCCCTTGTGGCGCAACTTGGGATTGCACAACATGTTGACTCTCCACCCAAAATCACCAAATTAAGGGCCTCCTTTAAGAAAAATACACCTGGAAACTTATACAATACACAAAAGGTAAATCACATAATAACGCTACCACACATTACGGTGTATCACATACGTTCTTTTTTTTTTTTTTTTGTCCCATCTTATCTTAATGACCTTGTAGTACCATATCACCCTATTAGAGCACTTCGCTCTCGCTCTGCAGGCCTACTTGTTGTTCCTAGAGTATTTAAAAGTAGAATGGGAGGGAGAGCCTTCAGTTTTCAGGCCCCTCTTCTGTGGAACCAGCTTCCAGTTTGGATTCGGGAGACAGACACTATCTCTACTTTTAAGATTAGGCTAAAAACTTTCCTTTTTGCTAAAGCATATAGTTAGGGCTGGACCAGGTGACCCTGAATCCTCCCTTAGTTATGCTGAAATAGACGTAGGCTGCCGGGGGATTCCCATGATGCATTGAGTTTTTCCTTTCCAGTCACCTTTCTCACTCACTATGTATTAATAGACCTCTCTGCATTGAATCATATCTGTTATTAACCTCTGTCTCTCTTCCACAGCATGTCTTTATCCTGTCTTCCTTCTCTCACCCCAACCGGTCGCAGCAGATGGCCCCGCCCCTCCCTGAGCCTGGTTCTACCGGAGGTTTCTTCCTGTTAAAAGGGAGTTTTTCCTTCCCACTGTCGCCAAAGTGCTTGCTCATAGGGGGTCATATGATTGTTGGGTATCTATGAAGTGCCTTGAGGCGACTTTTGTTGTGATTTGGCGCTATATAAATAAAATTGAATTGAATTGAATTGATGAATATCACATTATCAACTTTTTTTTTCTTTTTTTGCCTGTCCCTCTTTTGCCATCAGAATTATTGTCTAAAGGCAAAGAAAGATCACATACGTTCTTAAAATGCAGATAAGGAGTTTTCTTGTCTCTCCCCTTTGCTCTCTCTCTCTCCCTCTCTATAGACAGTGACATGTTTTTTGTGTGTTTCTAAATCTGTTGTACTTTTATTGCAGTGAAGACAAACAGGAAGTAAGTGAGAGTGCAGGGTAGAAGGGTGATCGCGGTGTTTCCAGATTTAAAGCAGTACGATAAAAGAGCATATAAAAGCTCAAGCAGCTTTTCCTACTCATTGACATCTGCAGAAACATAGGTGAGTCCTGCTTGTTTTTCATGCTCCACTTTTTTCTTCTACTGATTTCATGTTTACCTTAAAATATGCATATATAAAAGATACTTTACCAGCTCTGACACGCTAGAAGAGAAACACTATGTTCCTTCGATACAGCGATCGCAGCATCACAGCTGGTTTCTGGCAGTGTTCAAGATGCACAACCTACAGCTCTATAACACTTTTTTATTAACTAAGAGCTCCTAACTAGCCTGCAAATCAACCTTACACTCATTTTTTGCATTTATTATGAACAATCTGTGAGTAACACAACATTATATTTAAAAAAGTGTTGTATATTCAGTAATGCAATATATTTGGTCATTTTCCATCTGCATACAGGGATTTCTTCTCTGCATTTATACATGACACACATACTGTGGCCCTTGTTAACGATTTTATCCAGTTGCTATTGCAGATGACAGCTTTAATCTATGTACTGAGGCGTATGATGACCCAATTTCGGCTTTTCAATCGGCTTTTAGAAAAGCCAGATAGTAAGGAAAGTAACAAATGTTGAAACATTGATCAGATTAGAGAAGGAAATTAAACAGTTGATACTTGTTTAATGTGCAAGTGATGATAGGGGGCAGGGGCAGGGAGGAAGCAATTGCATGGGCACTGCTGAGCAAGAATAAAGTAGTTGTGGTAAACCAGTCATATGACCAATTTAAGGCAGCATAGTAATAAGATGCTATGTACCCATTTTTAAATTGTGGTGATAGGCCAGGTAAAACCAGAGTCATGATAAAAAACAAAACAAAAAAAACGCTGTGTTTTTTCCTGAATACTGTCGTCACATTTACTGTCTAAGGACAGGGCTAGAAAGCAGTCTCTGCTGTTGACCCACCGAAAGTTTAGAAAACAAAAAACACCATTTCCGATCGGTGGAAAAAGGTACAATGTTGACCTATCAAAAAATGATATGGAAACATGGTATTTGTTTTTTTTAGGAAGAGGGGGACGTTTTAGGAGTGATGGTTCTGAGAGAACAAAAGAGAGAGAGTTTTAAGATGTGAGAGATTTGTGACATTTAGGCTACGTTCACACTGCAGGTCTTAATGCTCAATTTCGATTTTTTGATCAAATCCAATTTTTGTGTCTGCTCGTTCACACTACAAATAAAATGTGACCGCAAACGCGCTCTAGCTCAAAGCGGCCCGCATGCGCAAAAGAAGACGTCACACACAACGCGCTCTGTTTACACCCAGAGCAAACAGCATTGTTTGACTGATGGTCTTAATATAAAGACTTCGGACTTGTGTTATTTTGTTATTTACATAATAATGTAAATACATAATAATGTAAATAACCTAATAATTATCCTTATTGCTGTTTTAGAGGAGCGGTGCTTCAAAGGATAGTTGCAGATTTCTGTCAGAATCTGCAGATTATACAGTGCAAATAAAATGTTCACGTTTCTCCAACGTTGTCTTCCCAGCAGTTTCACCGGATGGCCAGGAAGCGTTCACGATGTCTTCTCCGGTGCTGATAATTGCCGTCTGTCTTGTGTCAGTGACGTAAAAGACGGATTTAATGCGACATGACCGTTCAAACAGCAGTCGCTTTCTGAAACATCGGATATGTATCGGATTCAGTACCACATACGAAAGTGACCCAGATCGGATTTGAAAATATCGGATTTGTGCCGTTCACACCGTCACACCATGATCGGATATGGGTCGCATAGGGTCAGAAAAATCGGATTTGATGCGCTTTCGCCTGCAGTGTGAACGTAGGCTTAGTGTGTTTAGACAGTGTAATTGTTCGTGTTCAGGTTATTTTCTACGTGCTCGTGTTTATCTGTGCCACCTTTCTGTCTCTGTGCATTATGTTCTAGTTCCACTGCATATGTCATTAGTCAGATTATGTTCAGCCCTGTACTCACCCTGCTGACAGTACCCCCCCCCGTCAAAGGCCGGCACTCGACCAACCAAAAAAGGGTGGACGGATGGGACCCAGGACGGGGGGACGGACTCCAAAACAAAGACAGTTCAGGTGGGCGGCCACGTGACCGGCGGTGATGCTGGAGTAGATATGGTGGGTGGCTGCGAGCACGACAGAGGCAGCTGCGAGGAAGACGGCGGCTGCCACTGAGCAGGTCCGGCGGTGATGGAGGAGCAGCTGCAGGTGATGGCTTGGGAGGTGCAGGTGCAGGTGCGGGTGCGGAAACCTCTGGCTGAGGAGCGAGAAAGCTCACAGCTGGCTCTGAATGCTGTGGCGGCAAGTCAGGGAGCAGAACAGGATGATACATGAGTGACTGGGCCAAAGACTGGGTAGGAGACTGGACTACAGGCTGAACTGACTGGACTACAAAAGACTGGACGACAGACTGGACTGGCTGGAAGACGGGCGATTGGGGGACAGGAGGAGACTGAACCAACTGGACAGGAAAGGCCGGTAGATTAACAGAGGTAGGGGAGGCTAATGACTGAGGTTGGTGAGGCTAATGGCTGAGCTATAGACTGAATTAGTGAAGGGGATAAAGCTGCAGCTTGGGCTAGCGCATCAGGTGCTTGAGCGGGGAAGAGCTCAGCTAGCCTAACTAGAGATAGTGTGAGGGCATGAAGGGCTGGATCAGGAGGTGGATGGAGTGATAAACTAGCAGGTGGACGGGCTAGTTCTTCGAAGCCTCTATACAGGTCTGGTTGGGTTTTGGCTGCCCTCAGCCTGGGTGCTGGGGCAGGCATGGAAGGTGGCTGGACGCCAGTCACCTTCCCACCCAATGAACACGAACAGCTGCAGGAGTGGACTGGGTTGTAGCTGCCCTCGTCCTGGGCAGCTGGTACAGGTGTGGGTGTAGTCTGACTGATAGGAGTGGAAATAATGACTGGGTGAGTGATACTGAAAGGTAGGTGCAGGAGGATTTTTAAGAGTAGCCTGGGCTGATGAAAACTAAACAGGCTGACAGGTGGACGATGGAGCAGTCTCAGATAAAACAGTCCTAGAGTGAGCAGACCAAGGGCTTGAGTACACAGGGACCGTAATAGATTTATCAGAGAATGTTCTGTCCCTTCTGCCATCACCATTTACAGTCTTTAATTGAACAGTCTACGGGGGTGTTGAAGTGCGGATATTGTCCTTAATAAATCCCAGCTCAGAGGGAGCAGAGCAGAAAAATTCTTCCCAGTTCACATCATCCTCCAGGAGGGAAACTCCCCATGGATCGGAGATTAGTCTATTATTTGTTTTAAGTGAAGAATGAAATGAGGAGGGTGGAAAACAGTCACTGGAACTCAACACGGGGAGTCGCTCAAAACGGTCCATTTTATGGTGGCATATGCACCGCTTTTTCCGGGAAGAGGAAGCGGACGGTGTAAACAACTGAGCGTCTGGTGCGGGAGCCTCCGTTGAGCGGAGGTGGGAGACGTAGCCGCTGTGCCGTGGCGATGCGGAGAGGCCAGTGAGTGAAGCGGCCGGCGGGCGAGCGAGGAGCCGAGCGAGCGGTCGAAACTTGACCAGTGACACCCACCCGGCAAATGCTCCGATGCAGGGGAGGCAGCAGGTTCGCCCAGAGCCAGATGAGTCCCTGCAAAGACGTGTTCTCTCTCCGCGAAAAGTCGCTGTTTTCCCCTAAGCTCCTCCGGCCACCGACGCAGCGCTGCCTCCTGCCGTTCCTGCTTTGTTCATTCTCTCGATCCAATAAATCTTTTTCACTGCGAGTCCTGCATTTGGGTCGTCTCTTCTTTGCCTCCACACACGGCACTCCTGACAGAATGACGCGACCGGTGCCAAGAAGACACACTTTTGACCCAGCGGACTCTGACTTTTTCGAGCGGCAGGAGGCAGCGCTCTCCATGTGGGCAGAGAAGCTTCAGGGGAAACAGTGGCTATTTCTGGAGAGGGAGCAAATCTTCGACATGACTCGTCTGGCTCTGGGCGGCCCTCGAAGACACCAGGGTCCTCCACCTGCTGCCTCACCTGCTTAGGAGCATTAGCCGCGGAGAGTGGGTGTCACTTGCCAAGCTTTGGCCGCTCTCTCTCTCGCTGCTCCGCTCCTCGCTCGCCCGCCAATCACATCGCCCGCCTATCACAGGCCACTGCTCAAGACATTATCACTGCTAAACCTGGTAATTTCTCCCACTCAATCACCATTTCACCCATCAGTCAACCTTTTTCTGCTAGCAGGGCAGCTCAGAGACTGCCTTCCCTTCCATCTGTTTCACTTTCTCAGGTGAGGGCAGCTATTGCTCAGCCTGTCCCTGCAGCACCTCCTCGGGTGGCTAGGGACCAGCTAGCACTCACTCCTGTGCCAGCTCCCAGGACAAGGGCAGCTGTGACCCAGTCTACCTCCACACCCATTCCTGTTTTTCAGGTGGGGGTGACTGTTGCCCAGCCACCTCCCGTGGCTTTCCCAGCACCCAGGGTGAGGGCAGCCAGAATTCCACCTGACCCCCCTAGAGGCTCAGCTGAGACTCTCCAGCTAGTGCCCTCATGCTCTGGAGGCTCGGAACAGCTAGCCTGTCCACCTGCTAATCCAACACCGCTTCCATCTCCTGATCCAGCCTTTCACGCCCTCCCACCTTCCCTGGTGCCTTCAGCCTGCCTTCAGCCAGAGGTTCCCGCACCTGCTGGCCCCGCAGCTGCCGCTCCGTCACCGCTGGCTACATCACCGCTGGCTCCCACACCGTCGTCTGAAGCTGCCCCTCCGTCGCCTGCAGCTGCCCCCTGTCGCCATGCAGCTGCCCCTCCGTCACCACTGGCTCCCATGCTGTCGCCTGCAGCTGCTCCTCCGTCGGCTCAAACGGCGTCGCCGGCAGCTGCTCCTCCGCCGGCTCCCACGCCATCCTCTGCAGCTCGTCGTCTGCAGCTCGTCGCCGGCCTGGTCGACCTGCTAAGTCGCCGCCACTGGCTTCCGTGTGGTGGGCCTCTCGATCTGCTTAGTTGCCTCAGCCACTGGCCGTGTGGCCGCCTGTTGGATCTGTGTTTCCACAAGCCCCGCTGGTTTAGAAACTTATTCTCGTTAACGACAAAAACAAGATGAACATCTTTTACTTGCTAGCAAGGGAAGTCTTTGGTTAAGAACCAGCTCTTGGAGCTCACGCTCCTAACCTGCCTCTAGCCCAAAGTCCTTTGAAAGTCCTAATGATAAAGTGTTAGTATAATTGGTTATTAAGAGTGAGCAGTGGTTTTCTATGACTGCTCCTTCTTGAACTCAATAAATTGGATTTATTTTTCAGCTCCAGAAACATGGCTGACACAATAAATGTGACTTCATCTTCCAACCAGACCTGCGATGCTGTTAACACTTCAGCCTATCCTTTCTTTATGCTGGTCTACAGTCTAGTGTTCCTGGTAAGTTTCAAATCATCAGATCACTGTTAAAAATGTGTTAAAGGTTCTCAGTGTATGTACTGAAGTCCTGTCCTCTCCATCCTTTCTGTGTTTCTTTAGGTGGGGTTAATCCTCAATGGCTTCATCATGAAGTTTCACTTTTGTGGAGCACAGCAGCGGGCATCGAGCAGCTTGAAGATCTACCTGAAAAACCTGACAGCTGCTGACTTCCTGCTCTGCCTCTCTCTGCCACTCCGCATCACCCACTATGCCAGCAGCTCTGTCATCATTCGGCAGCTCTACTGTAGTTTTGGAGCTTGTGCCATCTTCCTCAACATGTACGCCAGCATCATATTCATGGGCTACATCGCTGCCAACAGGTAAACTTCATGATGAAGATTAGAGGAACCTTTTACTGAATTCACACTGCATTTCATGTTTTTACTACAAATTCTGACAGCCTGACTAAATCACTGACATCACTTTTGACTTTATTAATTTCTACTGATCTGAAACCACTGTGACTGATTAATGAATAGTGACTGATTCATCTACTCAAACCCCGTTTCTTTTCTCTTCAGGTATCTAAAGATCATCCAGCCTTCAGGAACTCACATCCTGCAGACAGCAAAAACTGCCCACATCATTTCCATCATTACCTGGGTCTTTCTCCTGGTTCCGACTGTGACATACACCATCCTGTTTTTCATCACCCAGACCCCTGTGACCTCTAACCCCAGCTGCTGTGATCCCTTCTTTAGTGAATCAATCAAGCTGTTCTTCACAATCATCCACACTTTGTCTCCCATTATCTTCTTGTTGGTCTCCATATCCATGGTCTTCTTCTACTACAGCACCTCCCGCAGGGTGTTGCAGGCACAGCAGAGGCAGCTGGCCTCCTCTGGCTCCGAGAAGCTTGTGAAGTCTCGCAGGAACATGTTGGTGCTGGTCAGCATCTTCTGTGTTTGCTTTGTCCCCTATCACCTGGCTCGTCTTCCCTATAGTCTTCTGCGGAGCAATGACTCTGTAGGCTCAGTCTTGAACTATGTAATGGAGGTGACCACCATGGTGGCAGTTTTCAATGTCTGCCTGGACCCTGTTGTTTACTTTTTCCTCTGTAAGTCTTTCCGGGCAAAGATGAGGAAGGTGGCCATTGTGACCAATATCCGACAAGCAACTGAAGAGAGTGAGCTCAGCCACGAGCATCTGGACATTAACAATCTGCAGGAGACAGACACAACACTGTGAGCACAGAAGCAGGCATCAAGCAGCTTTCAACTCTGCCCTCAACAGTTCTCTACGTTTCATATAATGATATAATCTCAGCGATTTTAGTAAAGATTATTTACTTTTGTCACGTTAAAGAAAGAGGAATTTTCTGATCTTGGCCCATGAGAAGTCCATAACAAATAACTTGGTTATGAATGAATCTGTAAGAGTTTTTGGAAAGGAAAGCAAAAGACATCCCAGTGTACTTCAGACCCAGCAACACAATCAGACAGAAACTGGTTCATCCCGAACACAAAACTCCTAAACACAGACTTAACAATGTGGTGTGTGCTGTACAGTGTAGCAAGGAATGCTCAGACCTCTACATTGTAGAGACCAAACAGCCACGTCACAAGCGCATGGCACAACATAGAAGAGCCACCTCCACAGGACAAGACTCAGCAGTCCATCTGCATCTAAAGGATGCCAATGTTCACATTTTGGACAGAGAGGACAGATGGTTAGAAAGAGGAGTGAAAGACGCCATTTTTGTCCACTGTGAGCGACCATCTTTGAGCAAAGACACCAGCTGTCTGCCATCTATAATCCAGCGTTGAGATCCCTTGCCAGACGCCTTAACGCCCACTTACATCCTTGGCCATCTGGCCTCAGGAAATCACATGATGGGGTGGGGCCAGGTTTCACAATGAGCTCACCCAAAACCCTGGCTGATTGTGACCTAAACCCGTTTTCACACCTTGGCTCATGTGATTACGTAGAAGATCCCTAGGGGGTCCCTAACCCTCTTGGGGACACTCGCATAGGGCTTAAAATCTGTGACTCTCCTCCAATTGCTCTTAGAACATCTTGCTTAACTGTAACTAGCAATGAATTTAAGAATATCTTTAATCCATTCATCCATCTTCTCCTGTATATATGTGTATTACATATATCAATAATGTGATTAGGTAGAGGATCTTTAGGGGGTCGATTGTCCCTCTCGGGGGAATACTCCCCAAATCTGGGACTCCCCACCATTTGACCTTAGAACTGAAGAAGCTTCTTGTATGAGAGGTGAAACGTCTTCAAACAACTTAAAGAAGTCCAGACGCTTTTCTTTCCGAGGTCCTTAGACTACGATGAGCTGGATGACTGAGAACCTTCACAGACAAGCAGGAGACTGTTGTTGTACAGTGGATTGAAGAGAGAGAGGAGCAGTTCGGTTTCAATCAGAGTTCAGTTCCTTGCAAAACAAATAAGCTTAAAACAAGACAAAATCTGTTGTTTTCTACAAACAGTGTTGGGGAGTAATGGAATACATGTACCACCGTTACATATTTAAAATCCAAAATATGAGTAACGGTTCTCCTTTACAGGTACTGTTTAAAAAGTATTATTATTATTATATATATATATATTATTATATTATATATATATATATTATTATTATTTAAAAAGTATTCAGAGTACAGTTGCTTACAAAGAAGTCTGTTCCTGTTTCGTATGTTAGGCTATGCCCTCTCTATTTTAGGTAATTCCACGGTGATGGAAACCTAACCAAAACACGCATTAAGAGGCTCTAATGCCTGTGTCTCAATCTTGAGTCTCATAATGGCGTGAGGAAATATTTTTAAGAATAATTTAATATGAAGGCAAAGCGGAGTGTTACAGGTATAGCCCTAAAGAATGTAGCCTCGTGGGTAGGGATGGTATCGTTTAGGTTTTATCCGATACCGGTGCTAAAACAGTACTTTTGAAATGGTGCCGGTGCTTAAACGTGCTCAAACCGGTGCTTAAAGAATGGAGAACACAAACTTGGTCCAAAAACCTCTCATGTTCAGCTGTTTTTTTGTAAAAAGATAACAATGTTAGCCTTTTCTGCAGCTATAGGGCATATATGGTATCACTCTTGGCTGGAAGCAGTGCTTAAACAATGGAAAAAACACAAACTTTGTCCAAAAACCTCTCATGTTTACTGTTTTCCACTTTTTCTTTGGTCATTTTAGCCTTTTTGGCCAGGGTGAAGGGAGTATCTGCCATCAAACAAGAAGACAGCCGCATGTAACTACGACGGTGTTTGCTAGTTCACCTTACGAGCATTAATGTAATAACGTGGTTAGCCTACTCAACGTAAATTACACAAGAACAACATTAAGCTACTCGCCCAGAGAAGAACGGCTGCTGCTGCCATCATCATCCTCATCATTTCTGCTACACTGGCAGGGCTATGGGCCAGGAGTCTCCTCTTTGGGTTTTTGGGGGATGTTGCAAACTCCGGGCCCGATAACAGGCACCACACCCGCAGTAGATGTGCACAGTGTGAGGTCTCGCAGCAAGCGGTGCATTTCTCGGCTTTTAACAGAACGCTATATGTCTCAAGGTTTGTCGTCAGATTCAAGGTGTTACTTCCTTTGCATAGTATCACAGTATCAGCTTAAAGCACTTATTGCAGGCTGCTGAGTTTGTATCTTTTGCTGTGAAGTACAGCCAGACTTTTGACCGCTTCGCCTTGGGCATTTTTAATCTGTAGCTCTTCTCTAAAAGAACGTACGTACCTTGGCCTGCCTACTATCCTTGCAAAGGTAAAATTATTGGCTAGAATCCAAAGTGTATCACATCTCAGGAAAAAAGGCAACTACCGTTTATGTCAGACCGGTACACATCCCTACTTATTGGCAGTGTAGTCTGTGCCGCAGGGAGAATGGACTGCCATATCCGTTATGTGTCTGTGAGCGCGAGGGAGGGAGAAAAAGGAGAGTAGAAAAGTAGGAGTTGTCATCGAGCAGAAACGGGAGCTGGAAGCATGTAAATATAATAATAACCACTGCAGCCAAGAAGAGTGCCTGACGAGCCCAGTTGTAAGTAAGCTATTAAGACTCGACTGTACACCGTGTTCGTGTTTTCCTCTGAAACAATAAGTTCAGTTGGAGCTTTCAACGCCTCTCTCTGTCTCTTGCTATACAGTTGACCCAGACAACAAAGTATGTCTGTAAGACATGGCAAATTGTTTTGTTTTTTTTACTATGCCAACCCTTTTAGGTTTGTTACGGCCCTGGCCGAAACTGGAGTCCTAGGGGTCTCTTGTTTCTGTCTGTGTCTTTAAGAGTCCACAGGTCCTTGCTCATTGGAGAGCTGGCGGCTGCTGATTGGTCCCCTGATCTTGTGACTGCTTTGAAAATCCCTCAGCAGCAGTTGACCTGTGGCAGCCACTGGTTGTGTCCCAATTCAGGGTCTGCATGCTTGAAGTACGCGCACTACGTACAGTGCGTACTATAAGTACGAGAAGTGCGGAAGTGAGAGGCTTGTGAAATGGGACGGTCTAGCCTTCGT